GCCCTTCACACGCCCAAGCTCATCTGCCCCGCACACTGTGGCACCATGTTTGTTCATCTGCCAGTTCTTGGGCAGGGGTCCCTAGAACAAAGATCGTAGAACGTGGGGGTACGTAAGCGGCACCCTAGCTCAGAAAGTGCCCACATGGACAGACATGGTGAAATCCATGGATCGCCTTTCACATTCACCACCAGCACCACCAGCAATACTAGCAAAGCCAGCACCAGCAACAGCAGCTCCAACCTACAGTACCACCGCCGCCATCGCCACCACTTCCACCGTGACCGCCACCGCCACCGCCACCACTACCCACCACCACCTCTACCTTCGGTACCATTCCTGTGGCTGTTTCTGAGGAGGCTTTCATTGGCAGCCATTTCTGCGAGCCAAGGCTGTATTCCAACTTGATGCCCATTTCTTTGTGACTCGGAAGCAGCAGAACCACAGTTGTTTTCTTTTTGGGCGAGAAATGGTTGTGTGTTTGAGCTGACACATCCCAAGCAAATTGTTAGCACAATCTAGAATTTAGATCCAGGCGAGGAAGCACGCAGCCCTGGAAATCTTGAGACCATGAAAATTCCCTGGAGCCTGGATTGCTTTGGCATCCCAGGTATCCGACAGTGGAGTTCTGCAACGTGTTCCAGTGCCTCGGTTTCGAATGCAGAGTGGAGATCAGGATGCCAGCCAAATTGGGGATGGGTCGGACGCCATCCCCTGTCTTTTGCAAGGGCATTGACCAAGCCATCTTACTAGCAGAAGATCATAGGGTACCGATGACAGAAGAGCATGCTTCCACGAGGTGGTGTGATCTTTGCTCATGTAACTGAAGTCGGTTTTGGCCTCAAATGTAGTGTGAGATTCCTGCGGAAAGACGGCTTTTCCCAAACTGGCTTGGCAAGAGCCTTCTGTATTTACCTCTGGTTCGTCGAAATCGAAATCGCCGCAGCCCACGCTAGAAGGCGGCGTACGGCCAGGGAAACCAATCCTTAGCTGAGGGACGACGCCCTAACACCTTAGTCCGGTCCCAACCACCACCAGCACGAAAGGCCTGTCCAAAGACAGCCGATTCGCCTAAGTGTCCTGGTTGCTTCTTAGAGGCACCTGGACATCTAACCAGCCGGCAGAATTGCACCACCAGCACACCCTCCTTTCAAGACCTTCAGTGGCTGTGGCTGTGTCTTTATCGGTGCCTGCCATGTGCAGAATGGCCTTTGTCCACTACAGCATCGAAGCCTGAGGAGAAGTAATGCAGAAACTGGAATGACTGCCTGTGATATCCCCCTCACAATCCGTTTATAGCTATAATGTGATATACACAGAACCCAATCATTGTCATTAAGGGTTCTATAGTATTGAGTTCAGGTCAAATTTCTTAGCAAATGCCCTAAGCAAATCTCGCCAGTTGCATGGCAGAAACCGAAACCAAAATCTTATATCCTTGTATGATAGTTTCCAATTTTCTTTTCCATCGCTAAGCCCCTACAGACCCTAACCCCTTGACCCCTTGATTCCCTAAACTTCTTGACCCTAAGGTGCCGAGCAATCAAGCAAGACAAGCTGATGCCTCCTGACGGAAGGGTTCACGAAGTGGGTTTCTGCAGCCAGCATTAAGCTACTGGGGTTCGTCTTGAATAAGGGGATATATTCTACGGGGATTATGTAGAGATGATTTTCCCATTTTTCCTACTAAGAACGACTTAACTAATCGAAGCTGGAAGTAGCGAAATGGCACCCAGAGCTCGCAAGCCCGAACTCCGACTGCAATTAGTCCCAGGCTTCTGCCGGCCTTCCTAAGAAACAGTGCAAGGCGAGATCATTTGGACAGTCTCAATTTTGGCCAGGGATGAAGGGGCGGCGGCTACTGCAACGAGTTTCCTTCTTTTTCCCAGAGAACTGGCACCCGTGAAGCAAGTTACCAATACCCTTAACTAAGGAATAGAGCTTAAATCATATTACACATGAGAGACCCTAGTACCATCTAGGGTCTATTCCGCAATTAAGGGGTATTGGGCTCTCTGGGTACCATAAGATACTGAGAGTCATGCAGGATCTGCACCCACAGGCGTTCCCATCTCTTTGTCTTGCAAAGGACCCTCCAAGCTTCGAACCTCTGAATTCGAAGGGATGGTAATTATAGTACACCCCATGTAATCCTGAATATAGCCCCCTTCTGGGAGTTTAGAACCTAAACCCGAAACCCTGTGTGGTCTAAAACCTTTAGAGGGGTTATATAGGGGAGTATTACAATAATAATAATAGTAATGAAGGGGGATACTAGGAGTTAAGACAATGGCTCGCATGGCGTAGGTTCCATCTCGTGGCCTCACTGGGCTCAACGGGGCAGTGGGCTGTGATAGTCTATATTTGGTAAAGGGTTTAGGTTCACGGCTTGGTAGTCTCTATTTTCCCTTGTGTGCTCCCCTTAGCGCCAGTAAGTGGTAGTTTCCATGAATGGGGACCCCATTATAGATCCCAATATATTCCTGATTATGGGTACCCCTAGAAAGAAACCCCTGATTTTGGGAAACCCCCAAGTAGCCTTGCCAAGGACATACAGAGCTGCGGGATTCAACGAGGGCCAGCCATTTGCGGCGAAGACCCGGAGTTCCAACCTCTGTCAGGAGCTGGGACAGGCATTGGGGCAGGGGTTTAGGGTTTAGGGTTTAGGGGTTTAGGGTTTAGGGTTTACGGGTTTAGGGTTTAGGGGTTTAGGGTTTAGGGGTTTAGGGTTTAGGGGTTCTTGGTTTAGGGTTTAGGGCTTATTATCGGGGTTATGCACGGGTTACAGGCTATATGGCATGGGGATATTATCCCCCAACAATGGATAGTCAGATGGAAAAGAAGATGGAACATGAAATTACAGGGGCGATCTCTAGGGATTAGGGTTTCCCAAAATTAGGTGCCCAGCATATTGAGGTCCATATTGGGACCCCAATGTATGGAAACGATTGCAGCGGAATTCAATAACGGTCTAGGCTATCAGGCTTAAGGGGGAGTGGGGAGTGAGTACAGGCACCTAGCATCCCCCTTAATGACCCCTACAATGCTTCCCTGTACGATCCCCTACATAACCCCCTTTAATAAAGGAGCTTAGACCCTAGCTCACATGGGATTAGATGGGATAGTTACAGGGATCCACTCCGGCCATCCCTCGTCAGTACGCAGAAGTTCGGTGATACCTGAGGCACACCTCGCAACCATAAACCTCCCGAATATCCATCACTAGAAAATGGTTTAGGGTAGGGAATCAGGGAATATATTAGGGTTTAGGGTTCAGGGTTTAGGGTTTAAGGTTCAGGGTTTAGGGTTTAAGGTTCAGGGTTTAGGGTTGAGCAGTTATTGTCCGGGGATGCGGGGTTTTGCGGTTGGGAGAGGGGGCGGGCAATGGGATGGGCAGTAGGATTTGGAAGCTGAAAGCTTGGGGCCTCCGGCAGATGTGCGGAAAGGTGTTTGCTCGATTACTAGTATTATTCATATTCATATCATTAGTACTTCTACTGTGATTATGATGACTACTACTATTATTATTGTGATTATCGGCAGGTGGGCTACATCTTCTCCGACAAGACAGGCTGGATGCATCCATGCATGAGTGCTGGCTGCAGACTCATTGGTGCTCTCTAGGGAAGGGAGAACGCCTCCCGAATAGCAATCACCATAGTAGCCATAGTACACATTGCCCTGCTGCTTTCTAGATGCTCTCCATCCCCCGACTGCCTGCAGAGTCATCCGTTTCTGCTCAACCAGCGCAGGAACTCTAACGCAGAACGACATGGCTCTGAGGCCCGGCATGCTTGTAAAACATGAGCTATAGTCTAACCTCCTGAGGGGGTGTTGACATGGGAGTTTGTTTCGGGGAGTAGTATAGGGTGATCCTTGATGGCGAGACTAGGAGTTTAGATTAAAGCTCACACGCAACTTTCTCACAATGATGGGTGATAGGGGTGTTTGACACCACAGGCGAGCCTCATGTATGACAGATACCCACATACCCGCATAGTGGGGTCGAGTTTCATCCAGCAATTCTACAAGGAGCAGTGTACCTCTCTTAACTTGTCCTTTATTGAGTCGAAACCATAGAGTTCGATGCTCGTTCTCCTGCCAAGACTGCGAGTTTAGTCGGGCGGGTGATTCAGGAAAGTGCTGTAGAAGCCTAAACAATTATCAATTTTATGCCCTTATAATCCCTATATACTCATAAAAACACCCCAAAGCCCTATTCTAATTACATAGGCCCCTGTATTAGTCGCCACCTCAAGGGTCGCCTTACTGAGCTTCTCGTCATTTCTCGTCCATAGCAATGTGATACGACCAGCCTGTACCAAGGCCCAATGCCTAGATTTGATTTCCGAAAGAGGGATCTGGACAAGTCTTTCTGAAGTCTTCTTTCACTGAAGGAGTTGGAACCCCAAGACCCAGAGACATGGTTCTTGGAGAAAGGAGACACTAAAAGGGGGGGCTAGGACTTCAGAGAAGATGGATCATCTACGTGAGAAAGGGGCCACAGCCTAACCCCTGAAGTCGTCCGCGCAAGGCGAGTGTCCATTGTCAACGGCGGTCAGACAATGAAGTTTGGCTCTCTGGAGTCTGCATCTGCGGAGGCACAGACTGCTTAGACTGCATCCCTGTTTTCCGAAATGAATTCTTCATTGTCTTGGACGGACTGATTGCCTTGGTCTCCCCGGCGAGTGGGTTTAGGATTTCGGGTACCTTGGATCTTGATCTCTTTGCAGCAGTTCTAGGTTGCTGTAGTGGACGTATCTAGTATGAGCATACCAGGGCACTGATAGGAGTGAGATAATACATAATTTAGGAGCAAAGTATGGCATGTGTGTTTGTCAGAGCCCCTCAGCTTTCTGGGATTTTTGTTGTAATGATCCTACAAGTTGAGGGTGTAGCCTAGATGGCTCTTCAGTGTCTTCTTTGCTCCCCCCTTTAACCGTGACCTCATCTAGAATCTAGAAGACGTTAGCATATGCAATTGCAGCAGCCGACATGTCATGGTTAGCCTCATCAGCGTTGCTTCCATGCTGTGCGACAGCGATGACAACGACATCGACGACGCCACGGGTGGGGTCGGTGATGACGATGATGACTATGGCATAATAACCACCCTTATAAGCTGGGCTTTAACTATAGTCATCCTACTTGCACCCATACAAGGAGGCTGCAATGCTTTTCAGCCCCTCAGGCATTGAAGGTGGATGCGGATTTCGCAGTGACATGGCTGGTCAAGTCAGTCACCAGAGTCAACATAGATGGCAATACCTTCCCTTAGGATTTGAACCCAACACCTAACATTGAAAATGTCTCCCAATTTACGTAGAAGGTCCCTTATTCAGAATAAATGTCTTACATTGGATGGTGGAGGGGTGTCAAAGATTGCGAGAGAGGATCGCGCAGTGAAAGCAACCAAAGCTTCCGATATGTACGAGACATGTTCAGTAATCTATGCGATACCTGTGTATGAGCATTGTAAGGTGTTGAGGAGGGGGGTGTTTTGAATGAGCGCGTGGCTTCGTGTATCGTGAGGATCCAAGATGGGAACTTGTCACCGTTTTGGTTTACAGACTGATGGCCTTAAGTGTCCAAATCAAAGGAAAGGTCACGATCAGGTGTTCAGGGAGCTTCTTGATAATTTGCGAAGATTTTAGCAGGGAATCAAAATTCATGGGACACCGTATGCTGGGGCGCTCCTAGTCCTAGTCCCCCTTCGTCACAAGTGGAGCAATATGCATTATACGTAAGTTTTGGATGCAGTCGCAGCTGCCGTTTTTTTTTTTTTGCAATCCCCTTTATAATCTAACAATATAATAACTACATCTGTAAGACTGAGGATGGCTTCAATGGTGCCACAGCAATGGAGGCATCGCTGATCACGCGTGGGATTGGGGATCCTTTCCTGTTCACGGCATCGGTATGGGTTTCCTTACTGAACTACAGTTGGTTCTTCCTGGGCAAATTTCAGGGAAGTATTTGCCTTGGCTTTCTTTGTGACAAGCTATGCTGCGGTTATCTTTGAAATGGCTTTCAGGTTTTGATGGTTTCCAACAGAAACGGCGGAGACCCCATTATAGACCCCAAAA